CCTTTGCATAATCAATGAAACACAGATAGACATTCTTCTGGTATTCCCTGTTTTCAGCCAAGATCCATCTAACATCAGCAACAATATCCCTAGTACCACGACCCCTTCAAAACCCAGTCTGGACTTCTGGCAATTCTCTGTTGATGTGCTGCTGTTCTAGTCATTTTCGGATAATCTTCAGTAGAATCTTGCTTGCATGTGAAATCAATGATATTGTTCTGTAGTTTCCACACTCAGTTGGGTCACCCTTTCTTTGGAATGGGAACAAATATAGATCTCTTCCAGTCAGTTGGCCAAGTGGTTGTTCTTCACATTTCTTGGCACAACTTGGTGAGCACATCCAGGGCAACATCTGTTAGCTGAAATACTTCAATTGGTATACCATCTATTCCCGGGTCCTTATATTTTGCTATTCCCTTCAAAGCAGCTTGAACTTCTTCCTTCATCACCATAGGCTCTGGCTCAATTGCTGTTTCATTAAATTCTGTATCTGCCAATTCCTTTCGATACAATGACTCAGTATATTCCTTCCTTCTTTTAATACTTCCTGGATCATTTAATATTCTGCCTAAAAGCATCCTTGATTGTAGCAACTCGAGGTTTGAATTTGTTCTTCAGTTCCTTGAGCTTAAGAAATGCTGAACGAGTTCGGCCCTTTTGATTTTCCGACTCTAGCTCCTCGCACATTTTATTGTAATATTTTGCTTTGTCATTCTGAGCTGTCTTTGGAATCTTCTGTTCAGCTCTTTAGTATATAGATATGTAGAGTTATATATTTCCTTATGGTGAGCTGGTGGCCTAGTGGTAAAGAGTTGCACTTTCAGCCCAAATGCAAACAGGCTCAAATTCAACAACTGCCCAACAGTTGAGAGACAAAAATGGTCAATCTCCTCTAATGTTATTTTCTCCCACTGAAAACCAGCTGGAGGTCAGTTACGAGTCAGTTCCAACTCCACAGCACCTGACAAAACTAACATATCGTGATACCGTCAAGAATTCTTAATCTACATGAGAGACAGAAATTTAAACCAATACTTTAATTAAAGAATGTATAGATGCAATGTGACCTAAACAAGGAGACTTCTAGTTCTAAAAAAAACAGCCACTGGGGTCAACCCTTGTGTGTTAGAGGCCTCAACAACAACAGAATTGTTTCTTGTGTTGTTGACTTTTTTTACTTTTTAGTACCACAGGTCCACTTCCGCGGGAAAAGCAGTCACTTGCAGAAACGGAGAATTAAAATAGATTCCGGATAAGTGGAAATGCTTACAAGGAAGAATAAAACGTCAGAGAGATAGCCAGGCACAATCTGCCAGTGAATTATATATGGAAATGTGAAGAGACACTAGGAAAGTTCTAGAGTTTCTAGTTTAAGGGGGAGGACTGCTTGCTTTACAACAGTGGAGCTCCAAGGACTGGGGTCGCGGGTGCGGCGGGTGTGAAAATTGAAAGTTCTTTTGAACATCTTTGCAGGTTTGGTGAGGCTTCCAAGCGGAGATACCACGTAGGCATTCGAATAGTCAAATCAGGCGACTGAGAAAGCCAGTAGATAGAATGCATTCAAGTATAAGACAGATGAACTCGTAAGACATGAGAAAAGGGTTTAAAAACACAGGAGGAGGATCTTAATAGCGGTGGTCATAAAACTGGACGAAAAGGAGTACCCAGTCAATATGAAGAACGCCTGGAGGGGTTGGCATCGTTATTAGCTGCTGCTGTGAAACAGGGTTATAATGAGGCTCGCTGGATAAACGGCTGTTTTAAAAGAACTGATGACAGTCTGCATGAACAGGCCGGGAGCGCAGCCCCACACAATGCAGTATAGCTAAGCACGGCGCAAACCGATCAACCCCCGGCCTCCACCTTGCCAACCCCGCCGCGTCCTGCCCCGCCCCCCTAGGCTCCGCCTTTCCTCCAACCCAATTAGACTTTCCAATCGAAGGCCGAGATCATCGCTCGAGCCAGGCGGTTGTGTCGATCTCTGCTTTAATTGGCAACAGGGGCTGTACCATGGCGGAGAAGGCTCAAAAGAGGTGGGTTTTATCACTTATATAAACCTCTTTTCAACACTCTTAGGGGTGGAGTGTGTTCCAAGTCTGTAATGGTTGGGACTGAGGTTGTGTCCTTTTCCGGGCGGTGGTTCTGATGGTCCCCAAAGCCCGGACCCGAGGTTCTTCAAGAAAGGAGAGGGGTTGGGATGCGGAATCAGTGCGGAGATTCGTACCCTTTGTTACATTTTCTACCCTAACCGCGAAATGCGCTTGCGTCGAAGGAGTGGGGATGTCGTCTGGGTGGAGCTGGGGGCAGAGAATGACTTCGCCCCCTGCCCGCGAGACCAGCGGGGACCGTCCCTGCTGTTTCCTGTTATTCAGCGCGGTTGTCAAAGAATGTCATGTTGTTGGATTTTCAGTTGAATTTTTCAAACACCCACTTTTGCTTTCATCTAGTCTTTCATACCTGGAGTGGATTTTGCGTGTGTTTGTGTGAACGCTATGACTAATTAACCATCCCTGATCAAAAAGGAGGCCTTGCAGGATTAGAACTGTTTAGATTATTGTCTAATATTAATGTGTTCTTTTGTAAAACTGTAAGGGTGGGCAAAAATTAGGGCTTCTTCAGCACTTTTCATTCTTTGGATTTATTTGTGGAAAGGAATGACTTGGATGAGAGAAATGCAAAAGTAAAGAAAAAAACATTTTCAAAGAACATCAGTGTTCACTAGCTCCCTCAACTAATTTTGGAAAATACTTTTGTTTCAAGTGACAGGAATGAAAGGTGTCAACATGCAAACTGGAGTCGGAAAGATGTCAAAGAGCTCACTATATCTTTAAATAGAAGAGTTATATTGAAGAAATGGAAGCTCTGGTGGCCTAGTAATAAGGAGTTGGCTCGGGTTGTTGGCTCTGATTGATTCTACTATGTGGAGATTTAAAAAGCACTTTCAATATATACATCTTTGAGGTTTTAATAATTTCTTTAAAAATCCAGAATTCATAACTTAGAAGATAGATTTATGAGATTTTATTTTTTATGAAATCTTATAAAGCAGGGATGCTTTTCCCTAAGATAGAAGACAAAAGATCTGTAGTTCACAGAATTGCTGAGACATACTCAAATCGATAACACCTAACAACAACATTTCACAGATGACATGATTATGTGGAAAAGTTCCAGAGAATGTACAAACAATTTTAAAGAAGTAGATTTAACAAAGTTGTAGAATATGTCACTTTATGAAATTACTATATTCTATATAGTAGTGCTAAAGAAAAAGTGTTATATAATTTTAAGTCGGAACCAGCCTGTGGCTGACCCTCTAGTGGGTTTTCAGAGGCAATAAATCACACGGGAGGATGTTGCCCATTTTTCTCCCACGGAGCAGCTGGTAGATTCAAACCACTTTCCTTTGGGTTCACAGGGCAACTCCTTACCACTGAGCTGCTAGAGCTTCCTCAAAAATAATTAAAAATTTTTAAAGAGATGGTTTATAAAGAAAAATATTTAGAATGCCATTATTTTTATATCTTAGCAACGAAGTTGTTATTGTTATGTGCCATCGAGTTGCTTGCGACTCATAGCGACCCTATGTACAAGAGCTCTAAATGCTGTTCTATTCTCTGCCAACCTAGCCATCTCAAACACACTTATTCCCACTGCTCCAGTCACAGAATCGATCCATCTCATTGAAGGTCTTCCTCTCCTTCCCCGCCCCTCCACTCTGCCAAACATGATGTCCCTCTCCAAGGACCAGTCCCCTCCTTGCAACATGCCCAAAGTATGTCAGAGGAAGCTTCAGAATCCTTGACTCCAAGGAGCATTCCAGCTTCACCTTCTCCAGGACAAACCTGTTTGTTCTCCTAGCAGTCTGTGGTATATTCAACACTTATCTCCAGCACCACAGCTCAAAGGCATCAATTCTCTTTCTGTCAGCCCTATTCACTATCCAAATCTCTAATGCATAGCACGTAATTACGAAGACTATAGCCCGGATCAGGTGCACCTTAGTCTCCAGCCTGACGTCATTGCTCTTCTGTACTCTTGAGAGGTACCTCACAGCTGACTTTCCCAATGCAATTCTTCTCTTGATTTCCTGGCTGCTGTTACCGAGAGTGTTGATTGTGGAGCCAAGTAAACTAAAACTGTTAACTATCTCAATCTCTTCATCATCCATAATGATGCTGCCAATTGGCCGAGTGGTGAGAATCTTTGTTTTCTTAATGTTGAGCTTCAATCCATATAGGAGGCTGCGTCCTTGATCTTCTGCAGCAAGCGCTTCAGGTCTTCCTCAGTTTCAGCAAGCAGGGTTGTGTCATCTGCATAACGCAGGTTGTTGATTCTCCCACCAATCCTGATGCCATATTCCTCTTCGTATAGCCCAGCGTCTCGGATAATCTGTTCTGCATACAGATTGAAAAGGTATGGAGACAAAAATACATCCCTGACGAACTCCCTTCTTGATTTTGAATCATATAGTGTCTCCTTGCTCTGTTCTTACGACTGCCTCTTGGTCCAAGTATAGGCTTTGCAGTTGTTGTTGAGTCAAATGTTCTGGGATTCCCATTCTTCTCAGAGTCAGCCACAGCTTGTTGTAATCCACACAGTCAAAAGCCTTTGCATAGTCAGTGAAGCACAGATAGACATTCTTCCATTATTCTTTGCTTTCTGCCAAGATCCCTCTAACATTAGCTATAATATCCCTAGTACCACGACCTCTTCTAAATCCAGCCTGCACATCTGGCAGTTCTCTGTTGACATATTGTTTCAAACGTTTTTGGATAATTTTCAGCAGAATCTTGCTTGCATGTGATATTAATGTTACTGTTCAATAATTTCCGCACTCTGTTGGGTCACCTTTCTTTGAAATGGGAACAAATACTGATCTTTTCCAGTCACTGGGCCAGCTGTCTGTTCTCCAGATTTCTTGGCACAACTTAGTGAGCACATCCAGGGCAGTGTCTGTTGAAATATGTCAATTGGTATGCCATCAACTCCTGGAGCCTTGTTTTTTGCCAGGAAGAGTGATTTTAATACAATAAACTGTATCATTGCTATCAAGAAAAGTTCCTAACCTAATGAGAACAAGTTACCTAATGACTATCAGTTTTTCTGTTGTGCTTTCAAGCTTGTTTTTTCTTGAACTAGACCACAAATTTATCTTCAAGGATAAATTTGGTTAGGGGTACCATTTATCCATGTATGGCTAGCTTTGTGTGTCAAACAAAAGATCACAACAGAATATGAAAATATCATCAACAAATGACTTAGGAATTGTTAGATTCTTTTGAACAGTGTGTACTCTAATTTATAGTACTGATAAGTCATTTTGTAATATGGGAAGAACAAATAAGAATATTACAGATTATTTTCTCAATTAATTTTACCTTACTGGTTGTTAAATATTTTTAATACAGTGTCCATTCTTTTCTTCTTACAAGAATAATGAAGGTTATCCATTGTCTATATTCTGTACCTTGCTATTTTCAATTTAATAATACAGTTTGGAGATAATTCTAAAACATTTACTTGAAGGGATTATCCCTCCTGTTTTAGGACTGCACACTAGTTTATGCTAGTTCTGTGAAGTTGGTTCTAACTTATGACAACTCCAGTAGTGGCAGTGGAGAACTAACTCTGCTCCACAGGCTGTGACTGAGTCTTTGAAAGCTGGTAACCAGGCTAGCTGCTTCTTTTTTTTTTTTTTTTTAAATTTCCATTCATTCATTACTCCCCTCCCAGTTCGCTGTTACCTTTGAAAAGTAAAAGAAAAGTTCTTTCATTGTTATACAGTCCCTCCCTGCGAGTCACCAGGCTTTTTTCTAAGGTGCCTTCCAGAAGACTTGAACCTCTAACCTTTTGGTTAACAGCTGACTGTGTTATCCATCATACATGTTACCTTTTTACCCCCTACAGTGTGAAGATTGCTCCTGGAGCAGTGGTGTGTGTAGAAAGTGAAATCAGAGGTGATGTAACTATAGGTAAGAAAACTTAATAGTATTTCTCAAGGACTGGTGAAATTTAGTTCATTGCTTTACACTTTGAAATTCTCTTTTATTATTTCTTTCACTGATGTAATATTACTGGCAAAATAAAACTTGTAACTATTTATGGATTAAAATAAGAGTGTAATGGAGTCTTTATTTAAACTCCTACCTCTATATTAATGAAACAATATACCAAAGTCCTTCCTTTATTCAAGAGCTATGTATTGTAAATAGGCTGTCTGCCTAGCACTGTACTAGCAGTAGGTGCATAGCCGTGAACATGGCCCAAAAAGGTACTGATTAAAAACAGAATCTCCTTCTATGAGGCAGGCAGTGAGACTGTATACCAGGGAGGCTCTGGCTGACCTAGGATCTTTGTTTCTTATCTACTAACTTACCTTAGACTTTTTTATTTTTTTCTGGTTTGTGTGTTGTTGTTTTTTTTAATTATTTATTCATTTAAATGAAAGTTTACAGAGACTTAAGGTTTCCATTCATTCATTGTTGCATTTTCTTCCTGCCCACCTCCTCCCTCCCGATTTGCTCTTCTCTTTGAAAAGTAGAAGAGAAATTCTTTCATTGTTTATAATCCTAGGCTTATTTTTTTACATCTCTGTCATTTTCCTCATCTGTGTAATTGTGTATGTTAGGATTAGATTCAGCTGCTTGTTATTAGACTTCAGTGGTCCTTTGTACAACAGAATGAAATACTACCCCAGCCTGTGTCATCCTCACAGTTACTGGTACAGTCCTAGCCCATCGGTGCAGCATTGTGTCTGTCCATCCTGTTGAGACTCTTCCTATATTTTTTTTTTTTACTGACCTCCTGCTTTAACTCAGCTGAAACGTTTTCTTTTTCCAGGGACTTGGCCCCTCCTACTAACATGTCTAAAATATGTGAGACGAAGGTACACCAGGCCATGCCACCAAGGAGCAATCTAGCTTCATTTTTCTAAGTCCGATTTGTTTGTTCTTTTGCAAGTTCATCCATGGTATAGTCATTATTCAAAGGCATAATTTCTTCTGTCTTCCTTATTCATTGTTCAACTTTCACATGCATATGAGGCTATTGAAAAGCCATGGCTTAGGTTAGATGCACCTTAGACTTCAAAGTGACATTGTTATTAGCTATGTAACTGATGGCTTAACCTTGCAGAGATTGATTCTGTTAGGTGAGAATGAAAGGCTTGAGGTTTGTAGGTCAGTTGATTGTTCAGTGCATCTCCTGAAGCTCCAGCCTTGCAGGTCTGGGCCGGAAGGCTGGAGCTGCCTAAGAGCCATCGCAGATGAGAGAGGGGAGACAAGGTTGTAGCTTCATTAAGTTTGCTCTATTTAAGCATTCCTGAGTGTCCTACACAATTCTTCTGTGCATATGTTATGGCTAGGGCTTAGTCTAACTGGTACATCTTACTATATACGTGGGCATATTGCTGCCTTAATGAAATTTAGGGCCTCTTATAAGGAGGAAATAGAGGGTAAATATTAGATGATAACTAGCATTTTCAGCCATATGAAAAATAAGAGTAACTAGACCCTCGATGAGATGGATTGATTCAGTGACTGGGGTAATGGGGGTAGGTATGTCAGAGACAGGGAGATTGGCACAGGATAGGGCAGGGTTTAGGGCTATTGTGCATAGGGTTGCTATGAATTGCAGGCGACTCAATGACACATAACAACAGCCTTTCTCAGAATTGTTGGAGGACTAAATAAGACAGTGTTTGTGAAAGTCATTGCCTAGTACCTAGAACATAGAGAGTAAGCAATCAGTAAATGTGAGTGCTGTAATAACCACATTAAATTTTTTTGTTGTAGTTTTGCTCGAAGTCAAGCCCCAACACTTAGGTTAAGTAACAGGTCAATGTGTTCATACCTATATGACCATATATTTTTTTAAAATAAAATTTTTGTTTTATACTGGTTTATGTACAAAGTTCATATACATTGTTTTTCACACTGGATCTTTCCTATTTTCTTTACCCACCCCTCTCTCCATCTATCAAATTATGCGACCCTAAGACTAACCACCACTACAACCACCCCCCCCAGCCCATCTTTACCCCTCTGCTCCCACCCCTTCCCCCCACTTGAATCTTCATACATGTTCTACAGTAATGGTCTTACACATTATTTGTCCTTATGGGACTGAGTTAGTTCACATGGCATGATGCTCTCTAGTCTCTCCCAAGTTAGGTAGTAATTTACAAAATCATTGTTCCTGCGTGCTAGGTAGTATTCCATTATGTGAGAGTGTACCATAATTTCTTAATTCATTTGAATGTGGTTGGACATTTAGGTTGTTGCCATGTTCTTGTGATGGTGAACAATGCTGCTATGAACATTGGTGTACAAGTCTCCATTTGTCCCTCAGTTCTCATTTTCTCAGAGTATATGCCAAGTAGTACAATAGCTGAATTGCATGAAATTTCTATGTTCAGCATTCTAAGGAAACGTCAGACTGCCTTTCAGAGTGGTTGTACCATTTTACAAATCCACCAACAGTGTATAAGAGTTCCTGTCTTGCCACATCCTCTCCAACATTTATTACTTATTGTTCTGTTAAACTTTGTTACTGCTACTGGAGTGAGATGGTACCTCATTGTGGTTTTGATTTGTATCTCTCTTATTGCCAGTGATTTGGAGCGTTTCTTCATGTGTCTGTTGGCCATCCAAATATCTTCCTCTGTGAAAAGTCTTTCTATGTCTTTTGCCCATTTTGTAATTGTGTTATCAGTCTTTTTCTTGTGGAGGCCCTATAGAATTATGTAAACTTTCAATATGAGACCTTTCCTGAAATGGTACCCTTGTCTGAAATGGTATTGCCAAATGTTTTTTTCCTAGTCAGTGGATTTTCTTTTCACTCTGCCAGAAAATGTTTTTGATGCACACAGGCATTTAATCTTTAGAAGGGCCCATTCATCAATTTTATCCCCTCCAGAATGTACATTATTATCTGGCTGTATTTGTCAGTCTCTTTATACCATAAACTAGGCCATATAAGCTTGATCCCAATTTGTCTCTGATGAACTTTATGGTTTTGGGCTTTAATCCCAGGTCTCTGATCCACCTTGAGTTGATTTTTGTGTATGGTGTGAGAGGTGGATCCTATTTCAGCTTTCTGCAGGTAGCAGTCCAGTTTTGCCAGCACCATTTGTTGAAAAGGTTGTCATTTCCCCATTTGATAGGTTTTATATCATTTGGCCATAGATAGCTGAGTCCGTTTCTGGGTTGTTAATTTTGCCCCATTGGTTTATATGCCCATCGTTGTACCAGTACCATGCTGTTTTGGTTACTCCCGCTGTGTAGGTTTTGAATCACCATGATTTTTAAGTAAACTGAAACTCATTGCCATTAAGTCAAAACTGACTCTTAGCTGACCCAGCAATGGGCTTCTGAGACTGTAAACTACATGAGAGGACACAGCATATCTTTCACTTGTGGAACTGCTGGTGGATTTGAACTGTCAGAGAGGCATAGCCTCTAAGTTAGTCGCATAACACCCTGCAGACTGTGTTACCATAAACGTGATTAAGTTCCTCAAACTCCCATTTGACTCAGTTCTTTTATAGTGGTTTTTACTGGATATGGTCCCCTGCAGCTTTATTAGTGTGAGCCCATCCTTAGCAGCAGCTGCATGTCACCTCTGTGTCACCAGAGCAGAGCTTTCAGTGAATTTTGTGAGAGAAAGTGTGTGTGTCCTGTTCCCTATATTCAGTTTCTATAATAGGAAAAAACATCTCCAATGTAAATTTTTTTTCATAATGCCTGAGCCTCTAACCAATTTAGGTTTTATGTCTTGTAAAACCAGTAAAGATTGTGCCAGTATTGTGAAACATTGTTAGGAATTTGCTAGGTTGGGTTGATTCAATTATTTTACGTTTATAGAGTTTCAAAGTTTAGAAAATGACCCTGTTTTCCTTCTAGTGCTGCAGTAATTTTTTGTCCTTGACTACTTATTGCTTGCATTTTATGATGATAAATCATGGCCATATGTTTATCAACATACTTCTCTGTGTTGTTTTTACTCTAACGCTTCTGTCAGATTCTGATTTCTTCATGATTCTAGAAATAGCATACATGATATTCTATAATATGAAGGAAAAGAAAACTAAAGTAGTTGATTTCTGTAAATTTTTTCTTCTATGTCTCCTTTTCCGTTTTAAAGACTAAGTATATAGGACACTCTGGTGGCATGGAAAGTTGGACCGCTAACCCAAAGGCTGTGCCTCTCTCTGGTTAGTCAAATCTCCCAGCCTCTCCTCAAAAGAAAGAAGAGTACTGTCTACCATGTGATTTCCAGCCTCGGAAACCCAGTGGAGGGTTAGCTGTGAGTTGGTTTTGTCTTGACAGCAATGAGTTAATAATCAACTGTCTAGCAAATGCATAGGTACATCTCCTTCATACAGTAGCTTTTTCACTGACTCAGGTTTATCAGAGGTGATGAGGATGGAGAGCAAGGCCCAGCCCTTGTTATTTATAGGTTCGCTATCAGTTGGGGGTAGGAGATGGTGAAGTTGGCTCAAGACAGGGCAAGGTTCAGAGCCATAGTTCATAGTGTCATTATGAGTCTTAGTGTACTCAACAATTCAGAACAACGTGTCATAGGTAATTCAGTGACACCTAACAGCAGCAGGTATAAGTACACACACGGCTGTATCTATAGGTTTGTGTATGTATGTGAGTGTATCTCAGATTTGATGGAAGTTCTGTCACTTACAGAAGCTGTCCTTAGACACTGAAATGAAGAGTTAGTTGGCTACTGTCTGCATTAGGGCACTTGCTTTTCTTCCCCCTGGCTTTCTCCACTCTATGCTCCTCTCCTTCCTCACTCATTGTCCTTCCCACCTGCCCTAAATGTGGGAATTATGTAAGTAAATACAGTGAGTAACCTGTTTTTATCTTGTATTTGACCACTACCCAGTAGTCCATAGCTCTTTTGGTTAAAATATATAATAACAGCTCAAAAACAGATTTTTTTAGTGATAGATAATAGA